ATCCCAGCATCACTAACTATCAGCCCTACTGTCTGAGTCTGCTGGGAGATATAGTTCAGCAATACCTGGAAGATCTGAGAATTCAAAGCCTAGTTTTATGGATGTATTTGCTGCTGATTAAGAGTCTGTGAGAGAAGAACTTCCGGTCTTGCATTGTAGCGACATGGCCAAGGGATTGCGAAGCTCCATACCCCACAGCTGGTTTTGCCCTGCCAGGAGACACAAATGCATCTAAAGTCACCCCGGAGAGATGATGAAGGAGGGCCCCCTGCTGATCATGGATCAACTGCGATTGATCCATTTGATCTGGGGAAAGCCCTCCAGCCTGACAGGAGAAAGGCTAGCCACACCCCAGTGACTAGCCCAAGCTATCGGCAGCCGAAGTCCAAAAGCACTAACCAGAACAACTCTGAACAGCTGCTTGGAACTGCGTGAGAATATTGATCTTCTGTTTCCTATTTTGTAACTGATTTTCTGGAAAAGATCCGCAAGGAGCAAAAAATCCTCCAAAAGTGAGAAGGGAGATTACACCCCCACCCTTCCATAGATGGAAGTGGCAAATTAATGTTTATGGGGGACAAAAATATATTGAAATGAAGTTAACAATACTACAGTCTGGATAAATCTGAAAATTATGAAAACTATTAAGATTTCACATCTGAAAGAATATTGATGAAATTTTAAGAAAATAATCCTTTATCTTAAAAGTTGGAAAATGAATAACTCCTGACATCTAGTGGAGGATTAGAGTATAAAACTACAGCAGCATTAACTCAGAAATTGGCAAGACGCCCAAAAATATAGAAAAACTTGTTCCTTTGAACCTCAGTGATTTTTAGCCAAATAAAAAACAGCTGCACAGAGGAAAGAAAATATCCTGGGCTATCTACTACAGAGTGAAAACTATGTTTATTTTAAAAACTGCTGACCTTCTGGGATTATAAATACTTAGCTATGATTTCTAAGCTCAAAAATTGTTTGCAGAGAAAGAAAAACTTTGACTTTTAGCTAATCTTCTAGGGGGGAATTTACTGGAAAGCTAGGTGGATAAACATTCTGGATTGCAATTTTGACTGGTTTATAACTAAGACCCCTGAACAGAAGAACTGTTACAAAATACTGCTTTCAATGGTGCTCTGACAATTGGAAATGCATTGGATTACAAAAACCATATATAAAGATAAGAACTATATAAGATTTAGTTGTTTGGATTTTAAGATTGGCTGGATTGACAAAGCTAATTACAGAGACTATGGTACCAGTGAAAGACTATCTAGAGGGAGGAGACAAAATGGATGTTGCATACCTAACTAAAAGTGACAGGAAACCACATCTAACATTCCCTTCTGAAGGCCCCAACCTGGAACATCAGGGATCTGCAGGAGCAATACTTCAAGACAAAGCAAATACTTTCCAGGAGAAAATGTACATAATGCTGCGACAAATTCAAATAACAATTATTTCAAATCATGGTGAAATTAAAAACAACTTTGATGACATAAATAAGCACATTTTCAACCTAAACTTACAATTAAAAAACTCTCAGAAAAAGACAATAAAGAATGAACAAACAAATCAGATAAGCTAGAGGAAAGTGACCCAAATGGGGAAGCTACAAATGCAGAGAACCACAGCTTAACACAAACAAAAGAAAATCTGCAAGATTTTGCCACAACAATAAAAACGGAAAAGATATTTCATCTTTCAGGACTTCAAAACAAATTTATGTATAAGAAAGAAGATCTCACAAAATGGATTATAGAGCTGCCAGGAGAACCATTAGAAATTGGAAGACAAAAAACGCATATTCTACTTAACTTGTCTTTCTTATTCCCAACAATATTCACAAAAATACAAGAAGAATCCCCTGGCAAGCAGAACATACTGACACGGAAAGCTACATGGCAAAAGAAGGAGGCTAGAGTTAGATTTAAGAGACTCGATTTGACTTAGATGGAATATTATATGATTAAATACTTTTTGAATATAGTTAAAAGAATAGATAAATTTTGAATATAAAGGGGCCCTACAGTAAGAGGGATAAGATATATAAGTAGTATAATATTTTTTATAATATATGAGATGTAGAAATATTGGGATGGTGTATGTGAATAAAAAGTTTGGATATTTAAAGGTAATTAATTTTGAGAAAATTATGACTGATAAGAATGGTCTGGATACTAAGGGGAAATTAAGCTTAAATAAGAATCTTGAAAACAGGACATGTAGTGACTTAATAAGATGACTTTTACAAATACAATTGAAACATGCCAATTAAAAAAGATATTACAGTATATGTGGATGTTATTGTTATTTGCACAAACACAAGAAAAATGTTTATATCCAACCTTGTATGTATCAAAAATATTAACAATTATATTCACTTAATGTTGACAAAAAAGAATACTACTGGAAGAAGAGAAGATCAAAGAAATATATCATTAACTAACATATTGAGTATGGAATTATAGAAATTTATTATTATTGATTGTTTTTAAATATATGAACCCAGACAACACGCTGTTTATTAAGTACTAAAGATTGTTATTGTAAAAAATCAATAAAATATATTTTTTTAAAAAAAGAGTCTGTGAGAGAAGAATTAATGGAGATATGGATTTTTAGCATCTGGAATTTTAGAAAACTTTGCATGATTCACCTGTGAAGGCTTTTAAAATTGTAAAATAATGGTAATAGTGGAAACTATTGTATCTTCAAAATAGAACAGATTCCCAACTTTCTTGTGGCACATTTAATTTTGATTATCCTTTGGTCTATAGCATAGAACTGCTACAGAGAATATTATTGTGTCTTTAGACGCAGGAGATAACAATTCTTCTAATCATTAATATCCAGAACATGATAGATATAGCAGTTGTTACAATTGAATGAGAATAGGTCTTTTTAAAATTGAGAGAGAATAAAATTAGAGCATTCTCTATTTCTGATCTTTGTCCCACACAAATAAATTTAGGTAGTTATTAAGTTGGATAATTACCCAGACTAAGGAACATCATCAGTGCACAGCATAATGAAATGTCTGTAAGGAAACAACCAAGCTCAGAGAGCACCAAGTACTCTTTAGTTCAACACTGAACTACAAATATTCTCCTTGATCAAAATTTTGTTGTTAGGCCAACATGTTGTGGAACCTAATAATAGTATTTTTACTCTATTTGCCTACACTCTTTTGGACTAGGTGGTATAAATGATTGTAAATAAATAAAATATTCAGTGTATATTCCTTGGAGTAGGCACTGGTTTGACTCAAGTTACCAAGTACTACTGAATGAGAATTAGATGTTTGACATCAAGGGGTAACTTTACATATTGGTTACATTTTTTCATACATAGATTTATATGTATGAAAGTGATTCTAAGTTTGTGATTCACAGTAAAGATTAAAGTATATTTAGTCTTTAATAATTGATGTAGTAGTAGTATCCATGGTATCTAATGCTGTACTTCAGCTGATACACCAGTCCCTTTTGTCATTTCCTGAAAGAGTTCAACTACTCAGTAACATTATTTTGAAAACATCCAGTCTTGAGCTGTCTTTAAAAGTAGATTTAAAAATTCAGCTGAAAATCCTGGTTTTAACATACAAAGCCAGAAATAACCTAAAATCAAAATATCTAAAGATTGTCTACTCCAATTTGAATCTGCCTGCCATAGAGCCTTTTCTTCTGGGTGTCCCTCCTTTGGCAAGGGAGTTAGTTGTAGTCACTAAAGATTTGTTCAGTTCTGAAATTCTGTCCCCTACAAATTCATTCAGCTTTAAAAAAAAAAGTTTTAGAGGTTAGATGAAGTTTCAGTTTTGGTATTGAGTGAAATGTCGCTAGTTAGCTTGATTTCTTATTCTACAACATGATATCATACATATACTGTATACTTCAGCATAAATATACCTTTGTACTGTAAATGATTGCTTTGATTCTTGATTGATTTGATTCTGATTCATTTAACTCTGGATAATCAGTTTAGATTGGAATTATTTGTTGTAAGCTGCTTTAGAGGTTCTTATAATTGGAAAGTCAAAGTAGAATATGTTAACATCTACCAGTTTTGATTATTCATATCAGTCTTGGTATATTTATATGTGCATGCTTGCATTCACATATATGCAAAAGGAAGAAAAAGAAAAAAGTGACATTTTGATTTCTGATGACGTCCATACTAGGAATATAAAAGAAATCAGCAGATTTGCAAAATTTACCAGAATGCACTCAGTTGGAGACGGATGGCAGAATTCAGCAGTTTTAAAGACATATAGTAGGTCTTTAAAGGACAGTTTATGCATGAAACACATGTGTTCTAAACATTACACTGATTTCACTAGGATAATTCACCACAATGAGTCTATAATGTCCCAAAATATGTTTAAAGCCCTGACAGGAAAGCCTAGTGTCTGGAGCCACCTAAAATAAAAAGTGATTTTTTTTTTTTTACTTCTTTCTCATAGCACAGCCTTCAGTTGTTTGAACCTCTTTTTCAAACCCATTGATACTGCAGTGTCAGAAAACTGACTTAATGGCAGTGAAGTAAAGGTTGATTGGAAGTACATTGTAATGAACCTAGCCTGTAAAATCCTCATGAGAGAAATTTAAAATATTGCAGTCATTTATTTATTATAGGTAAGGCAGAAGTGAATTTTCTAAATGGTGATGAGATTTAGGATAGATTTATAAAAAATGAGAATGTTGAACTAATAGTAGTTTTGACCACCAATTGCTTATGTATTAGGCAATTAACAAAATAGGATGTCATAATTTTGTACATGTCCTGAAATAGAATCACTAACCACTTCTAACCACACTGAGCTTTTAATAGAAAAAGTGGTTGCTTAATGCTTCCCCACCAGAAATGTTAAGATTAAGTTTGCTATTAGATTGCAGCCAGAATAGTCTACAAACAGGAAGAAAGTCTTGCTCTGCTCTCTGCCTGTTTTTCCTTGTTTAACTTGATGTGATAATTCATTGCAGATTTTCTTTCTTTAACAGAGTGCCTACCGCAGAAATGGGATGACTTTTCTAGCTTGCTAATATGGATGTGCCTGCAGCAACAGGAAAGACAATGTTATATATTTAAGGTGGGTTCTCCTCCCCCCACCAGCCAATTCGGTATTTGCAAGCATACTTGTGAGTGGACTGGTTTGTTGTGACTATCAACTGGCCGCTTCTGTCTCTTTTTTCCTACCCCTCAGTCATTACTCCTGATTTCTAAATGTAACATTTAGCTAATTAATGGCAGGATGTTTGGTATGTTATGGTAAATTGCACAGTTCTGTCGTTTACCCTCCTCCTCAAAATTATTACAGTATTAGCCTTCAGGAACAAACTTCAAACTTAAAATTAACAAACCTTTTTATTAATTTTAACTCATCACCTTTATAAAGAAAGTTAAAAGAAGCTGTGGTGTATTTACATCAAATTGCTAATTGCCTTATTTGTTTGCCCTTTTCAGGAAAATAATTAGAAAAATGTTGATTTTTAAAAATCTAAAAAGCCAGTTGCTATTTTGTGTAATTTTGAAACTGATAGACTGACCAGGAACTGTGAAGCAGAATATAATGTTGTTTTAACAATCAGTTTACATATGGTTATATAACATTAGAATTCAACTAAAATACGATATATCAATACCGGTCTTCCAAACTGGATTTTTTGTAAAGTAGCAGTTTCAAAACTATATGCTATGAGAGTCTCCTATGAGTGCTGAACAGTTGCACCACAAGTGATGCCACACAAAGGTAAGCGTTTCTGGCCCATCTGTGCACCAGGTATGATTGCCTCCTTTTCAGTCAGTCACTTTGCAGAGACAGAACTGTAGAATGGAGAAATCCAATCCTGTGCAGTTCAAGAAATGGGTGAGGCTTTTACACTCAGAAAAAAAAGATAATCATTTAGTGAATCATGCAAAAAGCTGAAGGCAGGGATAATTCTTTGTATTTTGGGATATTAATTGAAAGGCTATTTCTACACCAAAAATATATATTTGTATTATCCCAATACAAATGCCTTTCTCACAATAATTATATGAGAAGCTTTTTTTCTGTTAAGGTAAGCATGGTAGATAGCAAATTGTATTCCTAATTTTTTTCTATGAAATGAAAAAGTGGAAACAGCATTTTGCCACTACAACAAGATTATCGGCTTATATGCTTTTTCTAGGCTTTCAGTGCTTTGTGAATGCATTTATTTGAATTTTTTTGAAGGCAATGACACAACAGCATCCCCTTCTTTCTTTTTCTTGAAGCACCTAATGCCTTGGCTTTTCTTCAGTAGTTACGTTACTAATCCATGAAGAATTCTTTTCAATTGCAAACTAATTTCAGTGTTCTGTTTCTGTCCAAGGTCTACACAAGACTACATGTGGTTCGTTTTAATTTTTTTATTAAAACTTTAGGAAAACTTTCACAATTCTATGATGAGGTCTGAATGTGGCCATCATTTTTGAATGGGATCTCCTGTAATGTTTACATTAAACCCTGCAGGATGAACTCATTGCCAAGTGTTGCTGCTGTAGAGTTAGTTGTAAGAGCCAAGGACTTCAAGAGTCCAAATACTGGACATTCACCATAACCAGCCTTATACAGATCGATCTCTTTAGAAGTCAGTGTTTAGATGTGGTTACTTTACTGAATTATTGCAACTGATATATTCAGTATTATGCTTTTCATAGTGGCATAATTATACTTTGAAAACATTTTTGCATGTCATTTTTCTGGAATTGATCTGATGTTAAAGAACTAAAAATAGTGTATACAGTAAAGAAGAAAACCCATTGCTGATGTTCTGTCTATGCTTGCTGAAATATATGATTAAACTTTTCTTTTTATCATGATTTCTTATTTTTCTTGGCATCCATAATGATGGAAAATTATATGCTTGCTGTAAACATCCAGACTTTTTAAAGGACACCAGCATTTATTGTATTTGGTTTCGATCTGCAGGCATATATGCAAAAAGAAAACATTTTAGGCCAAGAATACTGAAATAAAAATTCTTTCTCTAGATGTATCTTTGTTTTAAAAAAATGCATAAGCAGAAAAAGCACTGGCATTTATTTCTTACTTGGTACACTTACAACCCCAGAGAATGAAAAATCAACATATATTTCTCTTAGAAATATGACAGATCATGTTTTTGTTGGTCTGCTGTATATTTGTCTGTCTTGAACAGTCTGACAGGCAATTATTTATAAAATCTAGTTTGTTCAATAAACCCATATAATAACCTTTCTCTTCTCCAAAAAGCAAGAATTATAAGCCAAAATGAAAAAATTGTAAGGAAAACAAGCTACATTTTGTCTCATTTTCTTGGATCAGTCTGTATTTATTCCCAGAATGACTGAATATAGTATAGTTCCTATATTTTCATATTCCTTTTATTCTTGCCTCATATTTTTTCTGTGCCTCCTTAATTTTTAATATTCTTATATTATTTATATTTACCTAAATATCTAGATTTTGATTTTTCTCTCCAGAAAGAACATACTGAAAGAAGGATTCAAAATAAACAAACAGATATAAATACAATCCACCATTAAAACACAATTACAAAATTAAAAGCAACTTCAGGACAAAATTACAGAGACCAAACTAAATACCAGAATCCCATATTTAAAGAGAAAGTCTCCAGTGGTGAACTGGAACACAGAGTTCCCCATACTACCCCTTTCTCTAAGGCAGGGAGACCTCTATTCATATGCTACAGGTGGTGGTGGTGGCACCACCAGCAGATGATCTTCTCAAACAGCTTCATCTTTCCCCAAACTTCATCAGTAATCTGAATAGGTGAATCCTTAAAAGGACAATTCTCTGTTCAACCATATCTCAGTAACACAAGAGGGTGTGAGGTAAGAACAATTATTTACAGAAGTATATCGTAACCTGTTTAGGGGAGACTCAAGATTCCATTCATTGCATGTAGATTAAGAGGGAAAGTCCATGGAAAACAAGTCTGTCTCATGTGTTAGAAGTTGCCTTTCAAGTTTAAGGGTTTGGATTGAGATTCTTAGTTTTTGAACCAAAAGTTCCTTTAATTGTTTGAAGAATAATTTCTTACTTTCCTCTGTACACCACAAAAGAGCTAGTTTTTCTTTTCCATATGCAGCAGCCAAATTTGATGTTCCTTCACACTCTCAGGAGGCTGTCCGTTGAAAGAAGTCTTTCTAGATTTGGGGGGGCCTTTGGTCAAAGCAAGATTACTGTGGAAAGAATTCCTTTCTGGCAGGCTTCAGATTTAGAAGGGACCACGTTTGCATTAAAACTCTGCCATCAGCCATGTGCCGTTCTCATAAAATATTTTATAGCTTCCTGTCTAGCTCATGCAGAATGTTTCATAGTACATAAACACTTCCAGAGATAATTTGAGGATAAATAGATAGTGGCATTTGTCATAGATATAATGTCAACACTGAAGGCTCTTCTATTACGTTTTATTGGGCAAGTCAATCTTTTTCATTTTTTTTTAAGGCTAGGAATCAGGTTGGGCTTTTAAAACTGCAGTGATATATCTGAACAGAATAGCAACATAGCTAAGAAAACGTGATGGGATGCATTTAATCAATGACTCTTCCAGAGGGCAACAAGCCAACATTATTCAGCTAAACCATCCCTGGAGAAATGGAATGTATATTTTGTGGCTTAAGTAAGGCCATCTGGCCTTAAAAATAAAAAAAGGCTACATATCTATTATAACTTTTTATTGTATCTTAAAATAATGACACTTTTAAAAATTCCATATATTTCATATATCATGATAGGACCAAAATTAGATATCTAAACTTTCATTAAACATTAATGTGGTGGCAATACAAGCAACTCTTTCAAGGCAGAGGATTGTAGATAATGAAATGTTCATACTTCAAAGGCTCGGAGTCATATGAACTAATGAAGAAAGCATGGATTCTGTAGCATACTTATTTCATATTTGTTACTAGGAGTACTTATAAAGCAAAAACAATTCTTAGAAATTATGTACTACTTCTTTAAAGACCTTATCGTGAATAAATGTGGGCATGAAGAGTATCATTTATTCGGAGACTAGATGATGATTTTTCCTAAATATGGGATGGTTTCTTGAATCCAAACATTTCAGATGATACAGAGAGTATAGTAGAGGTAAACAATCTGAAGATCCATTGGAACATACCGTATATGCCGGCGTATAAGGCGACTTCCGCGAGCGCTGAAATCGGCACCAAAGATGGGGGTCGTCTTATACGCCGAGTCATCTTATACGCCGGAAATACTGGTAGTTTCTGGCGTATAAGACGACGTTCTAGGAATGCGGCTCGGCGATAAAGACGGGGGTCGTCTTATACGCCGGGTCGCCTTGTACGCCGGCATATACGGTATTTTCAGTATCTCTTTGCTGATCATTAAAGTGCCTGAACTGTTTTTAGGGTTCTGCATAGCCTAGAAAAAATGTCACTCTTTTATTAAATTAAATAATATTTTTATTTAAATCATTATTTATTAAAATAATAATTTGTAAAATTATGAAGTTATCATTTTTTTCTTACATACTTTAATTTCTCCCAAAGCATTTATTCAGAAAATGCATTCATTTCAGTATGAATTTAAAAATAAAAAATGGAGTTCAGTTGATTCACTACATAAACTAAATGGGTTATCTCCATTAAGGGGAAACAAAGGGTGAAATTGATGTAGAACATGGGCTGATGACTGAAAGATAATGTCTGAATGCTCCATGAAACTGCTCTGATGAACTGGTCAATGCACATTAACATGTTTGTCTGAAAGTAGTTTAGCTCTGCATATATTTAGCCTTTGCAAACAGGTTAGTTCAATTTGTTTAAGATCATTTTCCAAAGCTGAAGATCAACATAAGTTTAATATTGAAATATAGAAGGCAACACCTGGTCAATCTTCGCTGTTCTTGAAAAGCTAAATAGACTTGTCCTAGTGAGTACTTGCAGAACTTTGTGGAACAGATGTCGAGTAAGGCACTGTCACAACCTAAGCTTTGCATCTTGTGGCATTGCATGAAAGGATATACTCTACATTGTAACAGCAAAAAAAAAAAAAAAAACATTTTCAGATGAAAACACTGGATCCTGAGATGGCTGTAAGAACTTGAATGGAAGACCACTATGAAATCCCAGGAAGCTAAAATGGGAACCGAAAACAATTTCCATACATTTGTGTAAAAAAAAAAAAAAAAAAAAACTAGATAGACATGCATGGCAATCATCAGAGAACAAAAAATAAGAGAGACTTTGTGGGATGACTGATAGGTAGTTTGCCAAACTCGTAGTTTGCCAAACTCGTAGATCCTTAGAATGATGATGTTTCTCCAAGACATGACACTTTTGGTTATCTCCAATTTTGACATGTCTTGTGGCAAAAGGAAGTGATGTTGCAGATGTAGATATTCTGTCCCTCTCTACTTCACAACAATTTTATAGTTAAGCAACACATCAATGTACAGATTGCAGCGTGCACACACAGACACACACATTCCACAGCTATTGTTGCCATAGACTGCTCAGTTTTAGGAAGCAGTTTGCATTAATAAAGACTGTTTCTAAACATATGTTCAAAACTTGGTTTAGTTATATTTGTTATTAAAAATTTCATTGCAACCTTTTGAATTATTAGCCAATCAAGAAACATAATCATGAGACATATAACACAATATATATTGTATTTATGATATATAAATAGCATCGGTTTAGAAATCTCAGTTGTTGAGATGTACTTTATTTAACACTCTACAAGTTATTTCACATATCTAGGATTAAAGCAATTATGTGATAAAGATTGTAGAAAACCTTTCTGAAAAATGAAGTCCACTAGATTCATTCAGGTTTCTCATTGCTGGCATTATTGTTATTACTGATATTGACCTATGAACTGTTATATTCATGTATTTTAATTGTTTTCGTATTCCTTGCCCCAATATTTAATTGGAAGAGAATGTCTGTAGAGACTTTTGACTTTTGCATTTTTGCATTTTTCCGAAAGTTAATATTATCCAAGCTTTAATAGTAATATATAAATTCCAACTCGAGCTTCATATTTAGTTTTAAAAAACCTGTCCTACTTTTCTTTTTAACAGGATAAGTGCAGGATTTTAAATGTTGGCCTAAACTTGCTGGACTCAAATAATGCATATACAATTATTATTTGAAGGTTATCCACAGCATGATGATTCCTGCCCTTTTTATGAAGAGTCAAGACTCTTCTGATATTAAAGAGCTATAAAAAAATAGAAATGTGCACTTTGAAAGAAAATGTAATACAATCATTAGAAAAACCAAGAGATCAAATAACATTAAACAATATCCTGTTGCTGGGAGGGCAACATTTAATATTTTTATGGTTCTTGTATATTGGGGAAAATATTGCCAGACCTAGAGGTTGAAAAAATGCCTCGGTGCTTGCTGAAATTATAGTTGAGACTTCCTTACATTTTATTATACACAGATTGTGCATTTGGCTAACATGAGCTTCCTTCAGACTCCCACAGGCAAGTCTATTGTGCCCTCTGGGGGTTCTGTAATACTTTAAGTTAGAAATTTATTTCATTAATTTTTTTTTTTGCTTATCATAAAATATCACTGATTTTTTTTCTGCTTAAGGAACCGAAAACATTTATAGTCTTCTTTATATCAGGAAGTGTAGTTTTTCCGAACATTTTACTACTCTGAATGTTTGAAGTATTTCACTCCCAGCCATTAAATATTACATGAGTATTATTTTCATATAGACAGGCTGTTCTTGTCCTTTCTTCTACCTTAAGTTTACTATGGAACTTTATATTACCAAGTAACACTCCCAGGTTTATAATCATTTGGAATACTAATATTAAACTGGCTCCAAAGGTCAGCTGTGGCTTCCATACTTTACTTCAGTATTATGGAAAATGGGTTAAAGTCACATTTAAAAGTACAAGATCACTGCTGGCTCAAGTTGAAAGCATTCTGTACCCCAGTGGCCACACCGGTGCCCCAAGAAGTCCACAAGCAGGGCATAAAATACAACCTTTCCTTATGTACTCTAGCAACTGGTTCCGGATTGTCTATTGGCTCCATTAGAAAAGACATGTCATTGTATCATGGGTATCAGTCCTTCAAGGTGAACCAGGTCAGGAAACATACCCAAGAAATATTAGAACTCTATTTTATTGATGTAATAAAAGAATAATACTTGAAAGCCTGGCAACTGCTAACATTCATAACATCATCCTAAACCTGAAGACATGATGAGAATACAAAGGTTTGTTTTTAGAGACAGCAGCAGCATTTCTTCCTGTTGAAGTGGCATGAGTATGGGCCATCTGACTAGCCCATTTTCAAGAATAATCACCGCATGATTCATTTCCACCAATCTCCATCTCCAAAACAGGACATTTCTTGTCACAGTGTCTCCTATCTTAGCTCTACAAAGAGAAGAAGAAATGTATCCAAGATATTTTAGCTTAGTTACTCCAAAACAGAAATCACTGTCCAAGCTGTCATGAACTATTATATGACTATAAGATATTTACAAATTCCTTCTTTGCTTAATTTTATGACTTTTTGCCAGGCCTCAGTCTGAAATCAAGGAGTTATACTCTTGCATTAAGAACTTCTGCTGCAATGATTTAGACAAGTAGAACAGTGAGTCATTTTCGAATAATTTCTTATAATTCTTGTAGTTAATTGATTATGGATTCCAATATTTCATACCTACTCTGTTTTCAAGTGACAGATAGTTAAAGCGGTGTTGGCTTGTATAAAAAGAAAAGGTGTCAATTATTTATTTTATCAATTCAGAATCTCTCCCCACTTATCTTCATTAGATTATCCTGATTGTATTAGCTACATTTAGTAAAATCTTTGGATCTGTGAAAAATGACATACATTGATTTTAATAAAATATTTTGGGCCGTAAAATGTCTATACGTTCCATACTGCCAGATTTAATAGACATTTGTTTTTAATGGACATATTTTCCTCCCATTTGGTCTACAGAATCATGATTTTACTATAGTGGAAGAAAAAATTCACTCATAATTTTTAGTCTTTATGCTATACATCACTATATTCCCTTTCAGTTTATATATAAATAAAATTGGATTTTCTGTACTACCTTTTTGTTACTTTGACACATTTAATAAATAAAGCCTATCTCTTCATTCTTCTTATAGCCCAAACTTGCTCTGCCTACCTATTTACTTCTTAGTCAAAACTGTCATCAACACTACTTATGGAAATGTTCAGCGTGTTGGCCTTTCTCTTAGTGCTACTGCTTTAGCAGGGCTTTTTACAAAAGTACAGTACTGTAAGAAACCAGGGTGACTTAAAAAGTTTGTATTTTGCAACAAATAGTATTTAAAATACTTTTTAAAGGACAATATGAGTGTAACTAACTTGCAGTTTCTTGCTCTTCAACTAATTGACTCTTCAATTAAACAAACTATTAATTTTCCATTTGCAAGAATAATGCTGCAGTTTTGTACCCTATCACCTGGAGGTAAGTCCTTTGGAATTCAGTAAGACTCATGATTAGGCATCTATCAGATTGTACAGTAAAACTAGGGCATAAATCAATTGAACTCAGACTAATATTTTTCTCTCTCTGCTGTCTAACAAAATACTCTATAAAAATATCCTCCTCCCATATTTCTGATCAATATTCCACCCACATGATTTGCATTGGGAGGGAAGCTCTAAATCTTTCTGAAGGCATTCCCTTTTGGGGAGGGGGAAATGTGCATGTAAAGTAGGTTCTAAGATTTAAGACCCCCCCCCCATCTCAAATGGAATACCTCCATCCGCATATTTTGGCTTGTTCCTGCTCATTGAATTGCATATATTGCTGTGGTAGCGACTAGTGCATACTGTGGTTTTTGAGCTTCTGGTCCTCCTCATTTACTCTCGATGCCCAAACGCAGCAGATTTACTGATCACAAGACTGAAAAAGACTGGAAGGAGACAGAACTGTAATAATAGGCCTGTTGAGAGGGGAAGGTTCTTGCAGTCTTACATTACCTAATTTGTTGGAACATACTGGGAATTACTGCTGTAAGATGCCATCATAAATTTGATTTTCCAGTATTTAAGCAATCTTTCTTTCCATGTATGTTATTAGCAATGAATTTATTATTGCAAAAGAGTAGAAGAGGTTTAAGGAAAAGAACTTAACATGATTCTGCCCTGCTAACAATTTCTGAAGGACTGCCACTGATTGGGGCCAGAATCCTGCCACTAAATCAACTGAAATGCTTAATAAGTGATACTCTGCAAAGAATCCTACTTTCTAATGTGGGATATAATTTATTTCAGAATGCATGCCATGGCAAAATAATCTCACTTTTTCCAACTATTATTGTAACTACATTTCAAATCATAAACAATGTGATTACATTATACAATGTAAAATGTATGCCTAAATACATCCATTTATGTCAATTTATAAATTCAGAATAAAACCGTATTTTAAAATATCCTCTGCAGTTCTGGTTATTCAGTCTCAAACTATTTTTAGTAAAATAGCAAAATGTATAAAGGGAAAATGTCCTCCTATCCCAATCCCAAGTCTTAAACCCTTCTCAAATGTTTAATAGCTTTCTGTGCATGTGCTGATTTACTTCTGTTTGATTTTTTTGTTTTTCTTATTGCTGTTCTGATGGGTGTCAGAAGTTCCGTCTGGGCTACACATCTTTCATTACAAAAGAATAGGCAGTATTAAGCTGGAGAGGAGACTTTCTCATGGCAGTTGAAATGGAGTTCTGACAGAAGAGATACAGGAAAATCCCTGAACCATGTCTTTTGGAAGAATTAATAACTTGTGCCATATGTTCTGCAATGACATGGAATCTGAGATGCAGTATAAAGTTCTTCATAAAAATCATGATGCCTCAAACCTGCTGAGGTCAATGAAATTGTTAGGCAATAAAATAATTGTTAGAGGACTTCTAGATTGGAGGGTGTCTTGAAATATCATATGTTAAAATGGTTTGTGATGAAAATAGTAGGCATCAGGTTCTTAAGAAATATTGTGTGGATGATTCAACCAAGCCCAAGCATATTCAGATCCCATTAGTGATTTAAGCATGTTTCTGATATTCCCATAATAGTCATGGTAAGCTGAACATGAATAATATCTGTATCGATGAACCTGGCAGTCTTTTCTGATCTGGTATCCTTCAGGGGTACAGAGACTATAACTTCCAGAACTTGAAGATCATTAGGCTGCCATGA